GTTTGGTGAGGAGCCAGTCCTGCCTGTATGTGTCTGGAAGGTCAGTTTCTAAACCAAGCAGAGTGGCACCAGCTGACATAGTGGAGGGGTAGTGTATTCCTCCAGCTATAGCGCCGCTGCGAGTGGACTGACGGGGGCACAGCTGATTGGCATCGCCCACACTGCGTGATCATGGAGACACACACACACATTCTCTCTCTCTCTCACAGATACACAGAAAAATACACGTACACACCTACACACACATGCATATACATGCACACACACACCACTGTTTTCTCTGTCTTTACATCCTTCTTCCTTTTCTGCTAGCCTCCTTTTATTCTACACACATCACCCCTCTCCTTCCTCCTTTCTCTTTATAACCATAGAAAACAGTCCCCCAGGGGAGGAACTCTTTCTCACCAAGTTTGTCTGGGGCTCATTAATTCTTTTTTAAGCAGGGCAGTACGTGGGGTGACTTTTAAGGATCTGGCTTTAGGATTTGGTCCTGGGAAAGAAATCTCATCTCGCTTCTGGTCTCTTGCCTCCTGCCTGATTCCACTTCCCTGCCCCCCAACCCACCCCTCCTTCAGAATGAAGCTTTCAAAAGCCAAATAAAATGCTGTTCTCCTTTTGCCTGCGGCGTGAGTGCAGAGTGCGAACTGCGGCAGCCGGAGTCATGGCAGGACAGGCATTTAGAAAGTTTCTTCCCCTCTTTGACCGAGTATTAGTTGAAAGAAGTGCAGCCGAAACTGTAACTAAAGGAGGCATTATGCTTCCAGAAAAATCACAAGGAAAAGTATTGCAAGCAACGGTGGTAGCTGTTGGATCAGGCTCTAAAGGAAAGGGTGGAGAGATTCAACCAGTTAGTGTGAAAGTTGGAGATAAAGTTCTTCTCCCAGAATATGGAGGCACCAAAGTAGTTCTAGACGACAAGGATTATTTCTTATTTAGAGATGGTGACATTCTTGGGAAATATGTTGACTGAAATAAGTCACTATTGAAACGGCATCACATGAAGCTGCCCATTCCACTGAAGTTCTGAAATCTTTCATCATGTAAATAATTTCCATGTTTCTCTTTTATAATAACTAAGGATATCCAAGCTAATGACACCCAGTGTTTAAAATTTAGTTTCACTGTACTGGTATAAACATTTCCAAATAAAAACATATAAATCAAAAAAAAAAATGCTGTTCTCTTTTATCATTGTTTAGCCTCAATTTTTTCAGGTTCCTCTACAATCTTGAAGCACAACCATATTTTAAAAATAACAATGCATATATATATATACACATATATCAATGCATATATATATACATATATTTATGTGTGTGTGTGTGTGTATATATATATATATAGTGTAATATATATAGTGTTAAATTTCTTTCTATCTTCCATTCTTCCTTCCTTTCTTTCTCACTTTGTCTCTTTCTTCTATATATTGGGTTGACCCAAAAGTTCATTTGGGTTTTACCCAATATTTATTGAGTATCAGGTATATGTCAGACCCTAGGTTTTCTTTACTTGTGTCTATGGTGTTTTGATACTTATAACTCTAAATTAAAGTTATTTGATTGATGCCTGTTTTCCAAGATTATTATGACTCACTTTTTTGTTTGTTTGTTTTTTGTTTTGTTTTTTGGCTGCCCCTTGAGGAATGTGGGATCTTAGTTCCATGATCAAGGATTGAACCTGTTCTCCCTTCTGGGGGAGCATGGAGTCTTTACTACCGGACCATCAGGGAAGTCTGATAACTCATATTTTTGAATGTTAATTGTGTAGTACAGGAACTATATTAAGTGGTTTATGAATATTATTTTATGTATTCCTCATAATAATCCCAGGTAGAGTAATTTTCATATTCCTATATCATAGATTATGAAATGGAAGTTTATATGTTAAAAAAGTCATCCAGGGCCACAGAGCTGGAAAGTGGCACAGTGTTATATGTCAATTACATCTCAATAAAGATAGGAAGAAAAGGCACAGTAGGGATTTGAACACAGAAAATCAGAATCCAAAGCTCCTGCTCTTAAGCACCATGAGATCCTCGCCCCCACACACAGTGGACTCTATGTCCTGTGAAGTAAGACACAGGCTATCTTGTTTACAACTACTTATTTATACACCGACCACTGTGTCTGGCATAGAGTAGATAGTCAAAAAGCACTATTGATTGAACAAATGAACTGTGGAATCATCCTTTGCTGCTATGTGGGTTGCAGAAAGGCGTGAGGAGGATATGAGCTTGGAAGCCAGGAAGACCAAGGTTTGCACAGAGAACTGTTCTTACTAGCACTGTGCCTCAGTTTTCTCATCTATAAAATGGGGATAATATACAGACTGAGTAGAATTCATTTGACATTTAAGTGACAATGCATATTAATCAGCCAGCTCATGTGCCTATTTACAGCAAACTGAGCAAATGACATCTATTTTTATATGTACATGCGCATACAATGCATCTGCATTATGCATGTAGCCTTAGTAGGTTTTCAGTGGTATAGAGCCACTCCCCTATTGTTGGATACTTGAGTTCATCCCTAGTTATTTGCAAACAGCTGTTAGATGAGGACAACTTGTACACGTATCTGTTTTCTTTCTTTCTTTATTGGAGTAATCATATAATTGCTTTACAATGTTGTGTTAGTTTCTGCTGTACAATAAAGTGAACCAGTGATATGTGTATATCTATATCTATCTATCTATATCTCCTCTTCCTCTTGAGCCTCCCTCCCCCTCCCCATCCCACCCCTGTAGGTCATTACAGAGCACCGAGCTGAGCTCCCTACGCTATCCAGCTGCCTCCCACTAGCTATCTATTTTATACATGATGGTGTATATATGTCAATGCTACTCTCCCAATTCATCTCACCCCCTCCCCCTCCCACCTCGCGTCCACATGTCTGGGTCTCTATTCCTGCACTGCAAACGGGCTCCTCTGTGCCACTGGACCTGTTCTCTTGTGAGCTTCCCCCCCCACCCCTTGATGGTATCTTATGTGGAAGATTCTACTTGCCAGGGAATCTGCATACTGATGTGGCCCTATTTATTGTCCAACAGCATCCCAGGTAGGAGTGGAAGATGGAGGCAAGGAGCAGGTATGACGGCTGGTTGAGGTATGTGAGGTAGTGTGTTTTTCCGGTAATGATCACATCTCACCTGTCTAGTGCCCAGGGTCAGTGTCCAGGCACTGGTGTCAGACAAGACTAGGTTTGAATCTCAACTCTGTCCTCCTCACAAATGTGTGAACTGGGCCAATTAGATCTTCTAAATAAAAATTTTCCTTTCTGTATAGAGGTAGTGTTCTTAACTATAGCTGCTTCACGAGGCTACTGTAAAGTTAAGAAAACACGTGAAAATGCTCACATCTAGGCCTGGCCAATTCAATAAATAAATAAAAGTGGATTCAATAAAAGTGAGGATTCAATAAATGAAAGTGACTATATTGATTGCATAAGATTCACAGAGTAAAATATATTTCCCCACTGATTAAATCCTGACACAGTCCCTGTGAGGTAGGGGTTATTAGGACCCCCATTTCATAGATGAGGTAATTGAGGCCTAGAGAACTGTAGTGCCAGGACCAAGGTTGATACGGAGCTCACAGGTTCTGGACAGGGCTCAAAACCAGGTCTCCAGAGGTCGAGACCCATAGCCCCACCTTCCGGCCTTCTTCCCTCGCACCAGGAGTTCTGGGTTCTTCTCTGGCCGGTGTGGAATTTAGGCTTTTCTGTAATCAACTGTGAAGAACAAGGGGTTAATCTCTTCAACTTCTTTCTAATTTCGACGTGGGGAGTGTTACCCCTTCCCCAACCCCTCAACAGCCAGCATCTCGCTTATCCCAGAGGGCGGGGCCTGTCAGCGTTAGCTACCACACCCCACACTAAGCCATGCCCACAGACCAAAGCTCCGGCCCCACAATGGGAAACCCGCGGCTTCAAATCTCTCCTCCATTAGCCACCCTCCTGCGAAGTCCCTTGCAGCTCGATGTCTACCTCTTAAACTCAAGCCTTGTCCCTGGAGCCCGGCGCTCCGCCATATGCAGCACCACCCCAAAGCCCAAACCCTCGCACCACGACCCATGGTTCTGTCTCTTTTTCTTGTGATCCAACGGCTGCGAGCTACGGCCTCGGCCCTCGACGGCTTCGCCAGGCTGTCTCCTGCTGGTCCCGGGCTGGACCACGAAGCCGCGCCCCAGGGCTCCGCCCACCCAATTTCACTCTCTCATTGCCTTCACTTTGGGTCCCGCCTGGACACCCTTACGTCCCCAAGCCCATGTTGTTATTGTTCAGTGGCTCAGTCGTGTCCGACTCTTTGTGACCCCATGGACTACAGCACGCCAGGCTTCCCTGTCTATCACCATCTCCTAGATTTTGCTCAAACTCGTGTCCATCGAGTTGGTGATACCATCCCCCCAGGTCATCATCTGTCGTCCCCTTCTCATCCTGCCCTTCATCTTTCACAGCATCAGGGTGTTTTCTAATGAGCTGTCTCTTCGCATCGGGTGGCCAAAGTATTGGAGCTTCAGCTTCAGCATCCATACTTCGATGAATATTCAGGGTTGATTTCCTTTAGGACTGACTGGTTTGATCTCCTTGCTGTCCAAGGGACTGTCAAGATTGTCTTCTCCAGCACCACAGTTCGAAAGCATCAATTCTTCAGCGCTCAGCCTTCTTTATGGTCCAACTCTCACATCTGTACGTGACTACTGGAAAAACCATAGCTTTGACTATATGGACTTTTGTGGGCAAAGTAATGTAGTCTCACAGTATTCCCTCTGGCTCCCGGAGCCCGCCACAGCCCATTCCAGCTTGCCGGTGACCACGCCCCTCGCTGCTAGCCACACCCTAACACAGCCCCGCCCACCGAGGCTCCACCCCCAGCGGCCTGGGGTAGGGTGGCGGCTGGCCCAGCTGGGCCCCCGCTGCCCTCAGCTCTGGGCGCTGGGTCGGAGCGGGCCGGGCACTGCGGGGGCAGGGCAAGCGCGGCGGCCCGGGGGCTCGGAGGCGAAGATGGCGTCAGGCAGGCGCGCCCCGCGCACCGGGCTGCTGGAACTGCGCGCCGGGGCAGGCTCGGGGGCTGGCGGCGAGCGGTGGCAGCGGGTGCTGCTCAGTCTAGAGGAGGACGCGCTGACCGTGAGCCCCGCCGACGGCGAGCCCGGACCGGAGCCCGGTGCCCATCGGGAGCCGGAGCCCGCGCAGCTCAACGGCGCCGCCGAATCGGGCGCCGCGTCCCCGCCGCTGCCGGAGGCGCTGCTGCTCCAGCCGCGCCGCGTGACGGTGCGCAAGGCCGACGCCGGCGGGCTGGGTATCAGCATCAAAGGTGGGCGCGGGGGCGCCGAGGGCACGGGTCTTGTTGTCTGTGGGACCGCTGAGGCGCAGGGATCGCGGGGGCTGGAAGCGTATTGAGGAGGTGGAGTTGGTAGACTTCTGTCCGGGGTAACGGCGTCTGGGAGAACAGAACCGAGGGCACCAGAGCACCAAGGTCGAAGAGAGCTTTGAGGTCTCAGTCAGAAGGCACAGGTGTGGACGGCTTTGGGCGCACACCAAGGACAGGTCGGTGGGGAGTTGTGTGCCGAGGCAAAGAGGCAAAGACTGATTGCCTCTCAGTAGTTGCGTGGGCATCAAGGACAAGAGGGACCCCAGGAGAGCAAAGGGTAGAGAAGGGAGACTGAGGCCTGGGGTGCTGCTAGGGAAAGGAGGAGGAAGTCTTCAAGATACAGTCAAAGTAGAAGGGAAAGAGGGGTAAGGCCTGGCGTAGGAAGCATGGCTGGGATGGCGACTAGGTGGAGGTGCCAACTGGGCTGGGCTCACAGACAGGGTACCGGAAAGGACCTGGAAATCTGAGGACCTAGGAAGCCTATATATGTAGGTGAAGAGTCCTAATTATCCACCATCACAGGATTGAGATGGGCTTTCAGCCCCCAGTACTGACAGCTTTCTTTAAGGTGCAACCCAGACTGAAGTCCAGAATCACCTGTGTGAACTTGTGTGGTAAGATCCCATGGACTGTAGCTTGGTAGGTTCCTCTGTCCATGGGATTCTCCAGGCAAAGATAGTGGGTTGCCATTTCCTCCTGCAGGGGATCTTCCCGACCCAGGGATCAAATCCACGTCTCTCATGTCTGCTGCATTGGCAAGCGGGTTCTTTACCGCTAGTGCCACCTGGGAAGCCCTTTCCCATCTCTGGCCCTGAGTTTTCTCAACTATATAATGAGAGTAATGATAGAATTGGGTTGTTTCTGTGAAAATAGGTGTCCACAATACTCACTCTGCCAACACATAATAGGTGCCTAGATAGTTATTGCTGTTAGATGAGAGGAAAAATGAAGGTCAGGAAAGACTCCCAAAGTGCGTTCACCATTCCCTCCTGAGGGGGTGAGGATGCTGGTGACTTGGCTACCATTGTGTTTCGAGTGCTATGCCCAGTACTCTAGGCTCAGGATCCATTTCATCCTGGCAACAAGTACTAAAAGATAGGACGTATAATCTTCACTTAGCGGGTGAGGAGATTGAAACTTGGAAAAGTAAAATGACTTTCCTAGGATCACACAGTCAGTGAGTGACAGAGCTGAGATTTGAACCTCAATTATCAAGCCACTAAAGAGTGATCAGAGAAGTCAATTTTTCCCCCGGGAAGGGCAAACTTACATGCAACCGACCAAAGGGATCTGAAAAGGGGTTAATGAGAAAGCCAGGGAGTGGACACCTGTTTTGTTCTCAAACACCAGTGTGGGATAGGGCAACAGATCAATGCAGAAATTGTACACTCTGTGTTAAAGCAGGAAGGAACTTAATGTTCATATAGCATCCCATTTTGCAGATAGACAAACTGAGTCTTGGAGAGGAAGAGGATTTTTCAGGGTCACAGAAAGTTACTCCCTAGCTTCATACTCCCAGGTGGGGGTAAAGGGACTTTTAGGAGGTGTCAGGAGGAATACCAGCTCCGTTCAATTCTCCATGTGTGGAGACTGAACTCCTGTTGCTATGTTGACCTTTCCTTTAGGGTCCAGCCCAGCCCAAGGCATCGAGGAATGGCCATGGATTCAAACTGACCTGAAGTCCCTAGTTTCAGGTGGAAGAGGGCAGATAGATACTGGGTTGGCCAAAAAGTTCATTTGGGGTTTTCCATATCATCTTTTAGAAAAACGTGAATGAACATTTGGCCAACTCAATATAAATAGAAACTCCTTCCTTTCCTAGGCTTCAAGCTCTCTGCACTGCAGTGAGCAAACTGCTGGGCCTATGTGGGGGTCCAGAGAGGCATTCCAGTCCTACTTCTGCCACCAGTTTGTTGAGTCACCTTGAAATTATGACCTCCTCTCCCTGGGCCACTTGTTCCTCATCATTGAGGATGGAGCGATAGTGTGGTATCTGAGGGCCTGAATTGCAGCCTACCAGAGGGTTAAGAGTGTTGGTTCAGGAACCAGGAGACCTAGGTTCAGATATTTGCTTTGCCACTAATTAGCTGGGTGACCTTGGACAAGGGGTTTCTCTCCACACTTCAACCTTCCCAGTAGGAATCTGAGCATGCCTGTGTGATTGGGTGTTGTGAAGATGCAATGAAACAAGATTGAAAGCATTTAGCATGGTGCTTGGCACTTGGTATGTGGAACTAATACGAACTGTTATTACTGTTTATTATTTTAAAAGGACATTTCAAGAGCTTAGAAATATCTGTATTAATATTTGATTTTTTTTGGTATTTTTGCATCAGAGATGCAATTCAGATAGGCTTTTGAAATCTCTAGACTTTAAAGCCCTGGTTTCTAGTCTGAGACCTAGGTTATGAAGCTTTCAGCTTTGTGGCCATAGCAGTAACTGACTTCTATCTTTATTCTCAATTAGAAGTTATCAGTGGGTTCCCCCATTATGGGAAACTCACTTAAAATCCAAAATAAGAAAAAGTTATTGAAGCATCTTGTAAGTTCTTCAAACATTTGTGACCACCCAAAGCACTTAACCAAAAGATCCATTATAACATTATAAATTTAGAAAATGCCTTTTAGGTATCACTAGTGCCCCAAACTTCTAAGGGTCTTTTCTGAGATTCTCTTTGCACTGCACTGCCACTTTCCCAGTACTGGGCTGGACACAGTGGGAGACCTTCAGAAATAATTTTGCCTTGTTGTGACTCGGAAGTGTTGGAGTGTCTGCCTCAGTTTCTTCCTCTTTCTGTGCTTATCCAGGGGGCCGAGAGAACAAGATGCCTATTCTCATCTCCAAGATCTTCAAGGGGCTGGCAGCCGATCAGACGGAGGCCCTCTTCGTGGGGGATGCCATCCTGTCCGTGAATGGGGAGGACCTTTCCTCTGCCACCCATGATGAAGCGGTGCAAGTCCTGAAGAAGACAGGCAAAGAGGTGGTGCTGGAAGGTAAGCACTGGGGACCCCAGGGGTGTTCAGTTCTTCCCTACCCACCCCAGGCCTCAAGCAGTGGGGTCTGGAAGGTGGGCAGAGTTGAAAACAGAAACAGCTTGGAAACCTGCCTTGAGAAATTGGTGTGGTGGGGATAGAGCTGCTTCAGAGCCAGACAGATCTGGGCTTCATTTCCTCTTTCCCACTCCCTAGCTGTTTGACCTTGGATGAATCACTTCATTTCTCTGAGCCTTAGTTTTCTCATCTGTAGGGCAGGGATATAACTTCTGCCTTGCTGGGTTGTGGGACTAGGATGAAAGGTCCATGGTAGGAACTGCTACTCGATGAGTGACACAAGGGAGGAAACGGGTGGGGACTGGGGAAGGAGAGACTTAGAATCTTGCCTGAGAAACCAGGGGAGCTCTCAACTCTGAATCCTCCTATCACCCAGGGGCCCTAGAACCCTGCGACCCATTCTGCCTTGGGAGGGTACTTGGCCTTTATATAGCAGGACACTGGCTACTTCCAGCTAGGATCCAAGAGGAATATGTTTTGGAGGGGAGGGAAGCTTGGTGGCTCCCTGCCACTCTCCCCTCACTGGGTGGTCTTAGATGAGACCTTTGCTTTCTCCCAGCCTCAGTTTCCCTTCACTTGTTATAGTCTCTGGCTGGGGTGGTCCTGCTTCTGCCTTTTGCCATCTCTGTCAGGAGGTTTCTGCTTTGCTCAGCCCTTTCGTCAAATTCTACTGTCAGTTCCGGAAGCCATGGGGGCCCAAGGAATGTGTCTTTGGCTCCTGGCCCAGAACAGACACAGGGAGGTGGCGGGGGCTGATGGAGAATGCCATGGCCAGTGAAGCTGCTTCACTGAGCCCCAGGCCTAGGTCCTGACAGGTTGCCAAAGAGGTCTCCAAGAGGCCACAGAAACCAACAGGCTCTGGATCCCTGGGTGATCTTTGCCATTCTTATGGCCCTGACCTCGATTCTCTCTCATTTCGTTTTATTTTATTTTTACATTTTATTAGTTATTTAAATGTACTGTGTGTCTATTCAAATGCTGCTGTTGCATTTTTAAATATACACTTAAAGCTGACTCTGCAGGATTGATCCCTGAAAGCTTAAGGATATCAATCACATTTTAACAGCAAAGTTAAATAACGAGATCACATATAAAGGAGATGGATATAGGAGACTTTCTTTCCACATGCCTCATCACTTTGATATTTATAGCCAGTAATGCAGTTTGAAATAGTTGAAATTCATCAAAATGTCATATTTTGGTTGACTTGAAAAGCTCTTTTAGTCTCTGCTGTTTGAAAATTTAGTTCATAGATGGTAAAATTTCTACTGTAGAGACGTCTCTAATCCACACTGAAGTCCCCCTCCCCTCCTCATTTTAGGTAGAGAATGTCTCTTTCTGGGTTCTTAGTGTGGATCATTCTGAAACGGTAGTGTCTTTGAGTGTTAGACATTTGAAGCATTTCCTGGTATCGGGGCTAATACCCAAGGCTCTGTCTACCTCATTCACTCCATTCCTTCCTCATTAAAACCAAGATGCCTTTCCAGAGACCTACTATGTACCCGATGTGCAAAGCATTGGGGTAGAAGTTAAACTGGACCCAGGGCCTGCCTAAAAGAGCCCACTATTGAATGGGGGGATAAAATAGGAACACCGTCTAAAATAGGGATGACAGAGGATGAGGTGGTTGGATGGCATCACTGACTCAATGGACATGAGTTTGAGCAAGCTCCGGGAGTTGGTAATGGACAGGAAAGCTTGGTGTACTGCAGTCCATGGGGTTGCAAAGAGTTGGACATGACTGAGTGATGGAACTGACTCCACACAAGCCATTAAAAAATCAGCATCTATAATCCTCTCTGCTCTGTAATTAATCTGGCCTTGGGCAAGACCCTCATCTTCTCTGGGCCTCAGTTCTCGTATCTGCTGGGGTTAAGCTAGATCAGAGATGTCCAACAGCTTTCATTCTGAGTGTCAGTTTCCTTGGTGGCTCCTGGGAGTTCCATATTTGGAAAGATTGGGAAATCTTATCTGAACTCAGCAGCGGAAAGGAGCTGGAATTGATTTGCAATGTTTAGTGCCGACAGAGTAGGGAAGAGATACAGTATACGTACCATCCCAGGACTGAGGGTCTCCGGCAGTTCTGTTCTCTAAAAGTTTTCACTGGGCAAGATCTTTCCTTGGCAAGCCCTGCTGCAGGCTGCTGGGTGGAGCCTGGCCTGCCTCTTGCCCAGCATAGCATTTGGCACATAGTAGGCTGGAGAAGGGGATGGCTACCCACTCCTGTTTTCTTGCCTGGAGAATTCCGTGGACAGAGGAGCCTGGCAGGCTACAGTCCATGGGGGTTGCAAAGAGTCAGACTAACATTTTCACTTTTTTCTGTTAGTAACTCCTCTCCTGTCCCATCACATTTACATAGAATTGGTATTATTTCCTGCTTAAATGTTTGGTAGCAGTCTCCAGGGAAACTACCTTTACAGAAAAGTTTATTATTTTTTTTTTTTGCCACACTTTGCAACATATGAGAGCTTAGTTCCCTGACCAGGGATCAAAGCCTGGCCCCCTGCAGTGGAAGTGCAGAGTCCTAACCACTGGATCGCCAGGGAAGTCACGATTTTAATGTCTTTAATAAGACAATTTTAGATGTTCTGTGTTTTCCTTGAATGTGTTTTGGTAGTTTATGTCTTACAAAGAATTTGTCCATTTCATTTAAGTTGCCAAATTTCTTGGCATAAAGTTGTTTATAATCTTCGCGTATTTTTCCTCCCTTTTGGATGAAATCAGTCTCTTGCTTTCTCTTTCTCTCCTCTTCCCTTTATACTGCCCTACTCAGCGATTTCAAGGGGACTCTGTCTCATGGAGCAGACAGCTAAGCAAACCTACCAGATCACCATCTTGGCATGGGTGCTGAGATGGAGTCTGCCCACAGGTCGGAGGAAGCAGTGGTCTCCTTTCTCTAAGTGGTCAGGAAAGACTTCCTGGAGGAGGGATGCTGGCACTTTATGAACAATAAGCAGAGGTGGGAATGGTGTAGAGAAAGGGCATTCCAGGAATGGAAGTTGTCTGAGCAAAAGGGAAGGGTGAAATGACTTGACTTACTTGGGGAACTGCCTGGGAAGTAATTCAGCTTTATCCGAGTTTAGGTATGAGGAAGCGGGTGGATAAAGAGGAGGCTATTCAGATTGACAGATCCTGCAGGGCCTTGAGTGCCAGACTAAAGGAATTTGGAGGAAAACAGAGCTGTTTCAAGGGTTTTTCAGCAGGGGCTCACATGGTCAGCTTTGGGCTTTACAGCATCAACTTGGTTTGGACGGAGGCAACAATAGATGCAGAATGGCAGCAAGGAGGGACTTCCCTGGCAGTCCAGTGGTTAAAAATCCACCTTCCAATGCAGGGGATGTGGGTTCAATCCCTGGTCGGGGAATTAAGATCCCACATGCCCGGAGCAACTAACCTGTGTGCGGCAACTACTGAGCCTGCGGGCTGCAACAACAGAGTCTGCACCGAAATGAAAGATCCCTCACGATGCGGTGAAGATTCAGTGGGCCCCACCTAAGATCCGAGGCAGCCAAGTAAATAAATAAGTATTAAAAGAAAAAAAGAATGGCAGCAAGGAGGTTGGGGCCATGGTGGTTTGACCTAAGGAGGCTTGGATAAAAGAAGAGTCTCGAGGTTATGGGGCTTCTCAACTGGCTCAGCATTAAAGAAACCACCTATGAATGCAGAAGCCTCAGGAGGCTGAGGCTTTGATCCCTGGGTCAGGAAGGTCCCCTGGATGAGGGCATGGCAACCCACTCCAGTATTCTTGCCTGGAGAATCCCATGGACAGAGGAGCCTGGCAGGCTGCAGTCCATAGGGTCGCAAAGAGATGGACATGACTGAGTATGCACGCATGCAATTGATGTTGTAGCCTTCTTGTTAGTTTGCTCCCCCCCCCCCACCCCCAGGTTTTTCTTACCTGAAATCTGTCTCAGCTGCTCTCCAGTAGCCTTGTAGAAGGAGATAATTCCACACAAGGCAGCAAAGGGCTGGGGGCGAGAACTGGGGTCAAGAATCTTTGAATTGCACGGGTGATCTGAAGAGCCTGGAAGATGTGAGGAAGCTAAGATGCTGGGTTGAGGCTGGTCCTTGAGACTTGAGAGAGTTTGTGGAGAACAGGCACCTGCCCCAGTCTAGAGCCAGAGCTCCTAGAAGCCTCTCTGGGCCTAGGTTCCTCCCCAGCACCCAATCAGTGATCACATTGTTCAGAACTTCCCTGCCCTCATCCCACTTCTTAAGGCCACCTCCAAGGAGCCAGGGGCTTCCCTGATAGCTCAGTTGGTAAAGAATCCTCCTGCAACGTAGGAGACCCTGGCTCGATTCCTGGGTTGGGAAGATCCGCTGGAGAAGGGATAGGCTACCCACTCCAGCATTCTTGGGCTTCCCTTGTGGCTCAGCTGGTAAAGAATCTGCCTGCAATGAGGGAGACCTGGGTTTGATCCCTGGGTTGGAAAGATCCCCTGGAGAAAGGAAAGGCTACCCACTCCAGAATTCGGGTCTGGAGAATTCCAGGGACTGCATACCCCATGGGGTCGCAAAGAGTCGGACACGATTGAGTGATTTCCACTTTCACTTTCCAAGGAGCCATGGCCTATCCTTTGGATGTGAACTTGGCAGGGCAGCAGGGCATCTTCCCTGAGGTCTAGGGCTTGGTGGGTACAGATCTCCCTGAGAACCTCCTAGAAGGAAAGATGTCACTGGCAAACTGCTGTTGCCAGCCAGAACCCTATATTCCCAGCCTAACGGGCTCAGCAACTCCAGCCTGCCTTCTGGATCTTTTCTTCTGTGAGGTCAGGATTTTGCACAAGTGTCTTGAGCCTATTCTCAGCTACAGGGATGTGTTTGTGACCAGAGTCTGGGCCCAAACTGGCAGCCAGTACTTGTCTGTCTGCTTCTTAGAGAGGGCCATTGTGTCCAAGTATCTGGAGCCAGGCCCTTGGAGACTGTGCCTGGGGGAAAAGGGA